CACTTCTGGGGGAAACGGCGGCTTCGGCATGAAACGCTGGAGATTGATTTATTGGCCGTGCGGTTGGCATGACAACAGCGGCCTGCGGATGGAAGAGAAGATTGTTGCTAAATTTTTCCATCTGTTCCATTTTCCAGTTGCAGTTGCCCGGGAATTGTCGTCTTTTCTTTGATAGATGAACTCCAGGATAGATTCCTCTTGATGAAACCATGTTATCATAAACCGAAGCACCAGTGATCCCAGTGTCTTACACTGTGTCCCATTTCGAGTCAATCAAGAGAATATTATCTGTAATATTCAAAAAAAAAAATATATATAAAATGTTATTTATTTACAAATATGTAAAAATATTTAGGTTATTTATTTATGGACACATATTTACTATTGATTTAATAAATATTACATTAAAGAAAGTGTGTATATATATATATATATATATATTACAATTTATTATTCATGTGAAACTCGAAAGATTAGAATATGGTGCAAAAGTTCATTTATTTCAGTAATTCAACTTAAAAGCTGAAACTATATATTATATAGACGCATTACATGCAAAGTGAGATATTTCAAGCCTTTATTTGTTATAATGTTGATGATTATGGCTTACAGATATGAAAACCTTTGGGGTTTTCATATCTGTAAGCCATAATCATCAACATTATTAGTTTCAGCTTTTAAGTTGAATTACTGAAATAAATGAACTTTTGCACCATATTCTAATTTTTCGAGTTTCACCTGTATAATAAATTGTATGTATGTATGTGTGTGTGTGTATATATATATATATTACACAAATTTAAAGTTTATATATAAAGTATTAGCCTGATAACACTGATGATGTTACTTTATTTGTTTGTTTATTAGTGGCACTCATGTTACGATACTTTAAACAAAGCCAAAATAGTTAAACTGATGTTTTTGTTTTTTATATTATCATTATTACATCTAATACATATGGTAATTTAAGTTTAAGTAAGATTTCAGTAAACTAAAATAATTAAAGCAAGTGTTATGTCAGTAAATGGCCAAGTTGGATTTGATTTTGATTTGAGTATCGCTGAAGTCTAACCTGGAGCTCAGAACATCCGATGCTTCCCGTCTAGACCGTGTTAATCATCACCTGCCTTTTCGTTTGCCAGCCACAGGCTATTGGACTGACGGATAAAGTTTGTCATATATCCTAAAATATTCATTGCTTGTGATATTTTATCTAGGTTATGTTTAAAAAACAAATGTTTTGTGCATATTAATGGCTTAATATGATTATTTTTTATTTTGGGGTTAAGTTTAACCCAGACATTTCTTGATAGTTTTCTCATTTTTATTGTTTATTGCACCACAACAGCATAGGCTTACTTGATTTAGCTTGCCTTGAACGGCTGAATCTACAATCACATGAGAGCAACTTTCCAAGGTTTTGTTGATGCGTGAACTTTGAGATGCCGCAACAGCAGATGGTGCATTTGGTGGCTCTTTTATCTGTATTCTTGGGTTACTGTAATGTTTTTAGCTGGTTTAGAGTAGAGATCTATCCGATCTCACCTGCTGCTGAGAACACACACACACACACACATTGCCGGAATCCGCTGGCCCACAGAAAGCCCATCTGGAACACAGTATCTCAGACACAAATCATACCGAGTGTTTGGCGACACACCTTGTTGGCTTTCCAATGGTAGATTGTAATTTATCGACTTTTATCCCAGCTCAGGATTTATTTCCAAGTTTTTGGCCGTTCCTCTCATAGACTGTAATTGGGTAGCATTTGAAGCATGTGCTTGTTTTCCAAAGACTTCAACAAAACACACTGTTTTGAGCCAAGTTACGTCACTCAGCGCCTTTGGCATGGTGAATACGGAAACAAAGACTAATGTTAATAGAGCTATTTTTTCATAAACTTTAATTCGTTTTCTAATAAGGCAGGCCGGTCATGGTCTGAAGAGGATCAAATCAATTAAATACACTTTTGTACAAATAAATGCATACAATTTATTGCAAACTTTGAGTCAAATTGTACATTAGAAAGTCTAAGACCAATAACTGCTCTTGTGTGTTGTAGAGATATGCATCTTTGACAACTTTACATTATTTTGTGTATTATTTTGGTCTTCCACATTCACTGAAATTTGACTCAATGTTTGGAATTAATCATATACATTGGGACACTACCGTTCAAAAGTGTATAATGTTCATCCGCACACTCGTGTAATCTACAAAGACTGTTATTTTGCATGGAAGGTCAAGTGCATTAATTGTAATAATAGCTATCCCATATATGTAGAGCATTCACAAAATATGCTTGAGAATGTAGTTTGAGACACAACATTTAGAAGTCTCATGGTCTGATGATCTTGGATCAGTTTTTCCAAACAGCAGGACTCAACAATCGAGGGTTGATTTAGGGTCGTGGAGAAGCGCCGTCACGGAGTAATCGGAGAGGAGCAGATGTGTCGAGGTCGTCTGCTTCCTTATCTGACTTTTTCCGCTGTTCTTTCTGTCTGTTTGGCCATGGAAATTCACAGAAGTGGTTCTGAAATCCACCCTGGGACACAGTTGGTCCTAAATCAGTTGGGAGCTTTCTTTTGTTTCGCAGCTTGCCTGAAAAAATGCAGATAAGGCCGTTTGTTCTTGTGTGCTAGCATGAGTCCGCCTTTAGCCTTCATTGGCGTTGCGTTTATATTTTTTAACGATTTACTAGTGGATAAAGTTTTGGAAACCGTGCCAATGAAATCATACGTTGATGAAATGTTTTTGATAGTGAAAAAGTTGGTTTTAGTGTTGATGCATGTGTTCAGGTCACCCTGTTCGCATTCGGAAAATGTTGCAACGCTTAATGGGTACTTAGCCTAGACCAAAAATATGCTGCTTTGAAAGCCGTTTCTTTGAAAGATTCTCCGTTTCTGCATCGCTTGATCTCTTTTCCCTTACTTATTTCTTCAAGGTACTGTTTCTTTCCTTCTTTCAGTCTCTCTGGCGTTCTTTCGCTCTCTCTGTGTTTGCCAGAAGGAGGTTCACTTCGTAGTCTTGGCAGCATTTTGTGTAATAAACTCCACACTAACGCTGGCTCATAAACAAATAAACCCAGGCACTCTGCAACGTAATTTCATCAAATCCTCCCCCGTGCTCTCGTTGCTCTACTACCAGGCCAGCGAAAGCCATCTGTCTGTGCGAAAGGTTCTCAGTCTTTGTAAACTCTCCTCTGGTGTCTCCCATAATTTTGTATTTGTGTCTGCGATTCCACTCTTGTGTCATGACATCATTCTGAAAGCTTAAAGCTCCTGTAGACAAAAACAGATGGCTGGACTTTTTAGCTGGAAAGGAAACAATGCCTCTTTAGTGCCTTGTTAGCTTTGGGTATTAGGTTGTAGAGGACAGGTAAGGATATAATAGATTAAAAAGGTTTACCAACAATCACTATGTTGACTGTTGTGGTTTACAAAGATACATTGGTAACCCTTACAATAAGGTTCATTAGTTAACCACCTTAGATAACATGAACAATTCTTCAGCATTTATTAATCTTAGACATTACTAATTTCAACATTTACTAATGTTATATTCTCAACTGACCAAAGGGCTGTCCATAAATAGTAAATTATTTATTTATTTATTAAGGGACCATGTCAAATTTTACTCATAATACTCTAAAATACATAGAAACATAAAATAACATCAAAACACAACACCAAAGCCGCGTTTCCACCTCAATTACCAGGAACTTTTATCATAGGAAATCTTTTTTTTTGCCCCAGACCGCTTGCTTACTGCGTTTACACCGCGGGCCTGTTTTGAGTTTTGTATGATTCAAGCTGTGCTGCTTAGGGTTGGGTATCGAGAATCGAGTATCGATTGGAACCGGGACTAACTTTTCATTTTTCCCGGAATCGTTCAAAAGATAAAATTTCGATTCCTAGTTTTGATATTCACAGTCCGCCGAGCGGAAGAAGAAACGAAGAAGCGTCTACCGGAAGTGTTGGCATAACCGCGCGAGTCGAACATGAGTAGCTTACGTCGGCGGTCCAAAGTGTGGCTTCACTTTTCTAAAAATAACGAAATCTCGGCAAAATGCAAAATTTGTGACAAAAGGAGTATTTCCTTCAGAAAGACCGTTGGTTAGCAAGGTTAGCTAAACTTTTTTGACCCTGCTTCTTAAAAGAATCGGAATCGAGAATCGTTAGGAACCGAAATCGAAACAAGGAATCGGAATCGGAATCGTTCAAATTCAAACGATACCCAACCCTAGTGCTGCTTTTGTGTGCGATTGGTTAACTAACGAGGTAATTAACAAAACGGAAGAAAAGAGACGAGCACCCAAAGCGTATTCAGAAAGCTCGTAATGCTAGATATAAAAGTAGACGTTTGTTATCAGTGGACATTGACCGTGAGATGTGGATGGGACGAACGCGCGCCATCGGGCAGAAAGAATAGCGTGGTAAGAACCAATCAGCATGTTCAGCGTACAAGTCCCACCCCGAAAGTTCCCGAACTCTGAAAAAGTACCATCTCGCCAGCAGGGACTTTCTGGGGGGGGGGGATTTTTTACCAGGAACTTCATTTAGACCCTGGTTCCTGCGGTGTAAACACAGCGAGTACCACCCCAAAGTTCAGAGTTCCTGGGGAAAGTTCCTGCGGTGGAAACGCGGCTCATACAACCAATCACTCACAGTTCTCAGACCTAATTAAATGCCAAAAGCTTGATTTAAAAAAAAAAGTATCCATGCTTGATGAGGATTTTAAAGATAATGGCAATGGCAACACCTTCCAAAGTGCAGTTAGTAAATATAAGTTATATTAGTTAATGCACTGTGAAGTAACACGAACAAACAATGGAGAGCTGGATTTTTATTAACCAACACTGACAAAGATTAATAAATACTGCAACAAATGTATTGCTCATTTTTAGTTCATGTTAGTTAATACATTAACTAACTTTATTGTAAAGTGTTACCGATACATTTGCCGCCATCTGCTAATCCACTTTTCCCATTTGATTCTAGGGTTTGTCCTTCCAACTGAAGAAAACCATGAAATCTGCTACTTACAGCACCTGAAAGAGATTTACATAATCAAGACGCAATGGAAGAGCCGTACAAAGATTCTGTAGCCGGAGACATGGCGAACCCCCAGGAGGAGGCCACCAACACTGATGCAGTTGGGAAACTCGAGGGAGAAGCCACTCCAATTATTACAACCGAGACATGGAATGTCAGTTCTCCAACCATCACGAAACGATCCCTATCACCCCTGCTAACAATACAAGCCACCCCAGTGGTGACCCCGGCTGCTGAGTCTCCCAATGGCGTTGCCCTAAAGGTCGCTACAACTGTGCTTCAACCAATCTGCTTGGGAGAGAGTCCAATGATGTTGCCCATCCTTGCTGGTCCAGCTGCCTCTCAAGTTGGACAATCAGGGACAACTTCATATCTAATGACCAGTCAAGGTCCTGTATCCCTACCTCTGGTCTTGGAACAACAAGTCCTCCAACATTTGAATCCTCAATTACTTCAACAAACAGCAACTTGTCCTCTCCCTCTACAGAACAACATACTGTGCCAGAACCCTACCCTTGCTCTCGGACCACCTCCAGTCATTGACCAGAAAGGCTCGAATCCAGTGTTGGATACTAGTCTAATGACTCTTCTTCAGAACCCCAACTTTGCAGCAATCTTGCAGGACCTCTTCCCTGGCCAAGGGAACTCTTCGCCCAGTTGTCACCAAGCGTCTTCCCCGCAAGTAGACCTCGCCTCTGCGTTTCTGTCTCCTCCGCCTCTTACACACCCCTACATTTCTCCACTAGCCTCTCTGGTGCCTCCTGCAACCCTCCTCGTGCCCTATCCTGTTGTGATCCCTCTTCCAGTGCCTCTTCCAATCCCAGTGCCAATCCCAGTGCCGGTCTCAATGTGCAAGGACTCAAAGATTGAGGTAGACTCCTCTAAACCGGCTTGTACGTCGAGCAAAAGCACACAGACGTCACCTAGTGACATCTCCCCTCATTTGACATTAACCAACAGGGAATTGGCACTAGTCCAGCAACCCTTTCCCTCTTGCTCGTCCCCTGTAGCGACAGACGGAGAAGTGCTAGACTTATCCATAAGGGCGACTCAACCGTCAACGCATGTTGATATTCCACTAGGGATCCAAGCGTTTCAGCAAGACAGTGTCCTTGATTTGTCTGTACCTAGTATAAGAAAGACATGCATCAAGTCTTGCAGCACGTACGGGCCAGAGCGGGAGAGTTTGTGCCACATTGGGGACGATGTTAGCAGTGGGGCTTTGGCTCTTGGGGTTCTTCGACCGGTTGATTGCACGCCGAAGCTAGATACCAAGTTGCTAAGTGGGTTAGCATCTCTAGAGTTCAGCAGACAGCACAAGTGGGTTGTGGATAGCGGTCATGGTAGCGCTATGGCTGAAGCCGTACATAACTCTGCGCTCAGCGGAAGCGGCAACATCGAGATCGTCAGCACGTCGCAGACTGCCAAAGTCATTGTGTCGGTCAAAGACGCCATGCCTGCCATATTCTGCAGCAAGCTAAAAGGATTATCAGGCGTCTCTACTAAGAACTTTTCCATTAAACGTGACTCAAGTCAGGGGGGATTCGCAACACTGCCCAGGATCCCAGGGGATCAGCGAGGAGAATCAAGTGACCCGCTCAAAAAGATCTCCAAAAACAGAGGTATCAAACTGAAGAAAGTAAGCTCCCAGGAGATTCATATACTCCCCATAAAGAAGCAGCGACTGGCAGCGTTTCTACCCAGAAAATAACACACGCTCTTGCGTTCAGAGTGAGACGGGAAAACCAAGGACATGGGCAAAGAAACGGCTACTGTGAAAATAATTGGTCTGAGAAATGTAACCAGGGTATGATGATGCTAAATGCATTCCTGGCAGAAACAAGGCCTAAAGCTTGTTTTCCAAGCTGTCCGTATGATTTAGACTGATGCAGGCTGCCTCTGGCCTGACGTTTGGCATTTAGGCCATTCATTATAAAGCATTCAGCTCAAGTCTACAGGATAACGCTCCAAGTTAAAGAAGCAATCTGAACAGGCCAAACTGCACTACTACTGATATTCTTTAGCATTTGCAGCATTAATGCCATCAGCAGAATCGTTTCCCTTCCTATGCATTTTGATGTTGGTCACACGTCCTCATGAATGATTCATCACACTTAATCTGCATTGCCATTAATATGCATGAGGTCTGTTTTGAAACCTGGCCAGCTGTCAGCGAGAAACACATCGCTGACAAATTCTCCTCTTGCTAATATGCCGAACTCTTGTTCTCCCGTCGCTGTTTACACTTGGAGTGCAAGACGTTTCCCATTTTTGGTCCTAATGAACTGTAGAAGGGGAACCGTGACCTTTTGCTTCCCTAATCACTGTATTAATCAGTGGGGCATTGGAGCGGAGGATCCTCTTTGAAGAACAGGAGGGCTAAGCAGTTAGCATGGCAGCCTCATAATGACTTGGCAAAGCGCAGACCTCGGTTTCATTAAATCTGATGATTGGAGGAAATGGTTGTCAGTAGCAACAAAGCGTGGTTTTCATCATCCTCCCTTTGGGGGGCCAGAAAAGCTCCCCCCCACCCGCCCCCAATCAAATTAAAACTAAATAATCATCAGGGGTTCGTCCCTAAACACAACAAATCTGAGTGAAATGGCTTATTAATGCTGTTTTTATGGCCGTGGGTTCAACTCCAAGTCATTTTTTTAGATTATTGTTCGCCAGCTGTGTGAACACACACACACAAGGAGAGTTTAAGTTTTAACAGTGTACGGATTTTAACGCTCTTTATGACGATACCTACAGTGTTTTGGATGGTGAACTGCCTAAAATGAACCGCAAGAGTTTAAAATGAAATCCCTCCATTTTCTCAGTCTCTATCCATGTTACTAGACTCATCCGTGTATGTTATTCCACGTGTTTTGTAATCTTTCATGACTTTTATTGTCTTTCTGGGTGATGTCAGCAAGGTTGCACAAGCAATAGGTTAACATTATGGCTATTCAGCCATTGTTTTAAACTGCTCTTAATTGTAGATAATGCAGCAATTTAAAGCCAAGCGACATTACTGGAATACAGTTTACCGCAATAATAGAAAAATTAACATTTGAATATGGGGCGATGCCTCGACCTTCAGTCCCAGTCAAAAGCCCTCTTCAAAAGTGTGTGTTGGTAATATTTACAATCAGGGCCGGCTTCATTTTCACTCTTTTCTAAGGGATAAGATCAAGTGCCATACATACTACATTAACTTTTCATCTTTTATCAAATAAAATAAAAATAATGGATTGTGGTAGCTGCTTCATGGCACTAAAATCTGTATTATTGTAGCTTTCATGTGGTTGTGATGTGTTGAGTTTGATTGATAGCGTGAGGGTGTGTGTCGCACCGCAGGTTTCCACCCTCTCATTAACCTTCTGATCGTCCCAGCCAGTTTAGAAATCAACTTATTAAAACAGTTGACAGACACCAGATCACAAACTGAATACTGAATCAGACAGATTATCCCCATGAGCATGTCATAACGAGAGAATCGAGAGAAATAAACCTTTTAATTGGAGATTTTTGCATTGTGACATTATTATTTGTGACGAATGCTTTACAAGTTAAATATTGACATTTTGTGCATTACAATAATGAGAATTTGGATGGGAAAATGCCTGGTGTTTATGAAAATAATACCACAATGCAAAAAAAATAATAATAATTCTTTAAGCAAAATTGAATGCATTATTTCAGATAATAATACCACAATGCAAAAAAATATATATATGAAGAGTTCAGATGCAAAAGCCTCTAAATGCCATTTGAAATTTTCTTCTTTAATGATAATTTTTATCAAACTTGTATATTTAAGATCAGTAATTTCACTTAAATAACAATTAATAGGTAATTATCATTGCCATTTAAGTGAAATTACTGAACTTAAATATACAAGTTTGATAAAAATTATCATTAAAGAAGAAAATTTCAAATGGCATTTAGAGGCTTTTGCATCTGAACTCTTCATATATTTTTAGATTATTTCAGATAATTTTGGGGTGCAATATGACCTCTCGACAATTCACCCAAAATATCCAACATGAGTGAACTTAATAAATCATATATTATTCTAACGCGAACGTGTTGCAAACATACGGTGTGCATTTCAAGTAATTAACTGGAAACTTTTAAACGCAGACGAACATCTGTCAGATGTAAGAGCATCTCCACAGCGAAATAATCTTGATCTTGGGCTACGGCCAAACCAAGATGAGTCTAATTTGGTCACAGATGAAGATTTAAGTGGCAATATAATGGATTGGCTCAGATGAGACTTTCCTTCAGGCCATTGAAATGAGATCGAGACACTCCCTCATAATAGTCCATAGAAAAAAGGAAAGATAAACGACAATAATGAGCCAGGGTTGATTTTGACATGTCAGTATGAAATGTGCTGACTCGTGTTTGTTTATTGGAGAGTTCAGGAAACGGTTTCATGTTGAACGTCAGTGGCGGATTTCCTCTATTTTCACACAGTTCACTCAAGTATTGCTTTATACAATTAATACAATACATTTGACGAGCTGCTGTGCAATTGACCTTGTTTTTTCTCTGTCTATACTGAAGTGTGTGTGTGTTAACTGTAAAGCCTTAAATCATTTCCCGGCCGGCATGTGATATATTTTCACTCTTCCCAGATCTACACTAAATAAAAAAAACAATCACCATCAGCATGAGTACGAGAAGTTTATGAATAAATCATGACTGTTTCTATGATGTGAATTAATTTGTGTCAGATGACCCTCCAAATCTTTTATAAGTACTGAAATTTTAAGTATTGAATGTGTGTTTGTTTTTGTTTGTTTTTTTACCATGAACAACTTTTGTAAATAACTGAATGAAAAAAAAGAAGAGAGTCTGGTGATGTTTTAAATTATTTATTTATTATTTGTATCATTTAAAATGTTGAAAATGTGTATGTGACGAATGCATTAGCTTTAAAAATTTCATGATTAAAAACGTCTCTGGTATCAAGAGCAAAGCTTGCTTGTTTTTTTTTTTTCAGTTTTCGAACATTTCATGACAAGTATTGATATTCAATCATTTGCTTAATCTATATGGCACGACGTTACGAATACATTTGTTTGTTTTTTTTTACAAAAAAATGAAAAGTCCAACAAAGAAACGGAATAGTCTAAACAATCACATTCACAACTAACTAGAAATGCTACGATACAAAAGATGGGGAAAAACCTGAGAAGTCTCAAAGTAAAGCAAGGCAGTTTTTAAAATGGACATTTCCTCCCGGTAAAAAGCGCTGGAAGGCAGTTCAAGATATATACAACAACCAATCCGTAACGTATCGTCACATTTCCCACCTCCATATACAACGTGTTTAGCTTAAAATATTTCTTCTCTACAAAATGTACATTCCTGTTGCTGAGTTTTATGGTTAAACCCATAATACGCCGTCTGATCTATCAATGCAAGTGATAAAATATCAACATAAAGACTGGAACACACCAGCATTCACATTACATCAAACTCCCACTATTTTAGTGATATTTCTAATAGTTCAATGACACCTACAGCAGTGATGTGGCGTCTGTTGAGTACTGTCCTCCAGCAGGCGTCAACATCGAACACTTAGTAACACACACATCAACCCCAAGATAAGAGCTCGACGTGAAGGCCTCGGAGAAAACATCCAGTTTCTGTAACAAAACTGACGCCAAGTCAAACAAAACGCTCTGGAACACGTCGACACTCGTGACGCTGAACGATTCTCCCGTAAAGAGACATGGAGGACTGGAAAACAAGTAGCGATAGAAGAGAAATACAGCAGACGGAGAACTAGAACGATCATTTATAATCTATGCAGTTCACTGATGTAGTGGGCTATACATTAAAGATTTATGCATTCGAAACGCATATACAATTTCCATTCATTTGGCTCGCGCAGCTTTATGTGGAAGCTTGATTCTGCCACAGAATGAGAAATAAAAAAAGGAAATAAATAAAGTCTTTATTATGACTTTATTTCTCCGAATTGCGTTATAAAGTCAGAATTGTGAGATATAAACTATTCTGATGAAAAAAAGTTAGTCTTTTTTTTGCAATTTCGACTTTATATCTCACAGTTCTGAGAAAAGATGTCAGAATCTCAAGATATATTATCTTATAAAGTCAGAATTGTGAGATGAAGTCTCAATTCTGTCTTTTTTTCTTGCAATTGCGACATCTCTCACAATTGCGACTATTTTTCATAATTGCGACTTTATATCTCACAATAGTGACTTTTTTCATAATTGCGGCTTTCTCACAATTGCGACTTTATATCTCACAATTGCGACTTTATTTTTCATAATTGCGGCTTTCTCACAATTGCGACTTTATCTCTCACAATTGCGGCTTTATTTTTCATAATTGCGACTTTATCTCACAATTGTGGCTTTATTTTTCATAATTGCGACTTTATCTCACAATTGCGGCTTTATTTTTCATAATTGCGACTTTATCTCACAATTGTGGCTTTATTTTTCATAATTGCGACTTTCTCACAATTGCGACTTTATTTTTCATAATTGCGACTTTCTCACAATTGCGACTTTATTTTTCATAATTGCGACTTTCTCACAATTGCGACTTTATTTTTCATAGTTGCGACTTTATTTTTCATAATTGCGACTTTATCTCACAATTGCGACTTTATTTTTCATAATTGCGACTTTATCTCACAATTGCGACTTTATTTTTCATAATTGCGACTTTATTTTTCATAATTGCGACTTTCTCACAATTGCGACTTTATTTTTCATAATTGCGACTTTATCTCACAATTGCGACTTTATTTTTCATAATTGCGACTTTATCTCACAATTGCGACTTTATTTTTCATAATTGCGACTTTATTTTTCATAATTGCGACTTTATCTCACAATTGCGACTTTATTTTTCATAATTGCGACTTTATCTCACAATTGCGACTTTATTTTTCATAATTGCGACTTTATTTTTCATAATTGCGACTTTCTCACAATTGTGACTATTTTTCATAATTGCGACTTTATATCTCACAATTGCGACTTTATTTTTCATAATTGCGACTTTATCTCACAATTGCGACTTTATTTTTCATAATTGCGACTTTATCTCACAATTGCGACTTTATTTTTCATAATTGCGACTTTCTCACAATTGCGACTATTTTTCATAATTGCGACTTTATATCTCACAATAGCGACTTTATTTTTCATAATTGCGACTTTCTCACAAATGCAACTTTATTTTTCATAATTGCGACTTTATCTCACAATTGCGACTTTATTTTTCATAATTGCGACTTTATATCTCACAATTGCGACTTTATTTTTCATAATTGCGACTTTATATCTCACAATTGCAACTATTTTTCATAATTGCGACTTTATATCTCACAATAGCGACTTTATTTTTCATAATTGCGACTTTCTCACAATTGCGACTTTATTTTTCATAATTGCGACTATATCTCACAATTGCGACTATTTTTCATAATTGCAACTTTATATCTCACAATAGCGACTTTATTTTTCATAATTGCGGCTATCTCACAATTGCGACTTTATTTTTCACAATTGCGACTTTATTTTTCATAATTGCGACTTTCTCACAATTGCGAGTTTATTTTTCATAATTGTGACTTTATATCTCGCAATTGCGACTTTATATCTCACAATTGTGAGATAAAAAGTAGCAATTATTTTTTAAATATTTTTTATTCAGTGGCGGACAGAAGCCTCCATAGCTTTAACATAAACTGATAAATCTGTATATTTAGTCAGTCATACATTAATAAAACAGCTCAGATTTCTGTATTAACAATTTTTAAATACACAATAACCATATTCATCATCAACATCTCCAAGTTGTCTCAATTGAATATTGCTTATTCCACAACCGGACATATTTGAAACATTTTAGACTTTTTAACTGGATACATTTTTCACACTTATGCAAATTTTAAGTTTAAAAACTGTCGAAATGGATGGAAATTATACATGCAATTTAATCACATAGATCTTAAATTTAGGCCTGAATATTGTACTGGTGTGATTTACTACTTTGAGAACGTTATTCCACAATTGTGTTTAGATGTGTGGAGTGAAAACTATGTGAATTTACACTCTTAACTTTCATTTATGACCAAATATGTTGCGAAGGAAACCCTTTTCATTGATCACAGAAACATAACTAGGGTTTCCTCAATCTTTCTGCCATCATTTACTCACCGACTGTATGAAAACGAGCAGCATGAACATTCTGCAAAACGTCTTTTTTTTTGCGTTCGACGGAAGAAATAAAAATCACACGGATTTGATGACATACCTTTTCCCGTGAGATCGCGGAAACATGACGCGTGTATCTCGTGTTTGTTTGACGCCAACTAAACACACAAACAAGACTTGCAAAGTGTTCAGTGGCACCTGTGAACTTGTAGGACGTCACAGGGAGGTAGAGCGATTAATCAGACTTAAAAAACGGCCGTTATCGATGAGATAATCGTCCCGTAAAGCCTCGGCATCTTTGGGGAGACGAGATCACAGGAAGTAAGAACTGACTTCCTGTTGGTTCCTGACGAGGAGGTTCGAGGTTCGTTCCCAGAGAGCGGCACTAGTGTTCCTCAGGCTGAACATGAACGTCCAGGAGAGATGGTGTGTGTGTGTGTGTGTTTAT